CTACTACTACTACTACTACTACTACTACTACTACTACTACTACTACTTATATATTATATACTACTTACTACTGCACTTACTACTGCTAGTACTACTACTAATAATAACAATACTGTTGGTTTTGGTGTTGATTCTATTCAGACACTCTCGATTGTTTGATAGGGAGGGGGGGCGGACCCGGTCTACTATGAAATAAGATCGGACATTACTTCAAAATCAAACTTCTGTAGATATGGTGGATGTTTTTCTGGGGACTAACTCCCATTGATCCTCAAAATCTCTAACCACTCACTTCGCGGATTCGCGGATTCGCCGCCGCCTGCTCCCATGCCTCTGTCCGCCCTAAGGCTTTGATGCTCGTCACCAGCGCAGCCGGCCTTGGTCCCGCACTACCCACAGTCCCGCACTACCCAGATCATCGGATCGGCCGGTCAGTCAGTCAGCGGTCAGTCAGTGACCCTAGATGTGACCTCGCCGTCCGACGGGTTTCGCCTTCTCGGTTCCCGACGCGAGAAGCGGTCGCCGACGCATCCAAAGAACCACAAAGGCTAGTCGGTCCACGTCCGTCTCACAATTCAAAAAACAAATTTTAAATGTGTATGACAATGATTGTATAATTAAATACTATAAAACAAAAAGTCAAAATACAAAACTGTATTTAGATGTACTGGTAATTATACAGGCAATTAAACTAAACATAAATACATTCGGCTTTAGGACGGTGTTGAAGAATATTTGCTGTTGAGATTCATTGACATATCCATGTTGGAAAACACAAAAATAAGAATACAATTCAACAAAAGTGTGTGCGTGTGCCCCTTGTAATCACAGGGATCCCGTTGGATTGTTTTTTCTTTTGAGCAGGGGGTGCCAGGGATGCGCACTGGACTGGCACCAACGAAGACGCCAGTGCTGCATCTGTGAAGTCAATCCGGGACGCCGGATTGACGTACCTGCTGGGCGAGAAACCTACGTAGAGCACAAGCTGTCTACTTCGTTGTTTCCTTCAGTCAAGGGCTAATGCAGCGGTGATTTTCCTTGAGTGTTCGGACCTTCGGAGCTCCACTGACTTGCACGACCCGTCGTCACCCTGTCGTCGTCGCTCGCCTTCGTGTTCATAGGTTTGGAAGCTTCTAACTCACTACCTGGAACCTTAGGCGGTTTTACCTAGGTTCGTGCCAACCCGGGATGAGCCCGCAGAGTGTCTCCCGTGGACCCGTCGAACGGGGGTTTGTCGTTATCTCCCCTGCCCGGAGATGTAAGTGTCCGAAGCGGACAGCAGATGGCTTACGCCACAAGAAGTGGGATGTTTGTCTCATTTTTGGAATTCCAAGTTGGCTCATGCCTGTACGTGACCGCAGAGGTCAAAGCAGCCAGCCATTTTGGCAGGGCACAAGGTGACCATAGCGGTCAAAGCAAATTTAAGGTTCATTGGAACCTGTCGCGAGCTTAGTTTCCCCCCCCCCATCCCCTTCCCTCCCCCTTTCTTTCTTTGCTTTTTGGGGTTTTCCTGAATGTAATACTCAGGATCTCCCCTCTCTTTCTTTGGTGTGTCCCTGGACGATTGTTCGTAGCTGGGAACACCTGCCTTTTTCTTTTCTCTCCTCTCCCTTTCTCTCCCTCTCTCTTTCTTTCTTTCTTTCTTTCTTTCTTTCTTTCTTTCTTTTCTTTCTTTCTTTCTTTCTTTCCTCTCTTCACCTTCCTTCCTCCTTGGGTGTCCCTGGATGCTTTTGTCATAGCTGGGAACCCTTCTCCTCTCTTCCTTTGGTGTGTCCTTGGACGCATGCGTCGTAGCTGGGAACACCTTCCTTTCTTCTCTCTCCTTTTTCTCGTCTCTCCCTACCCCTCCCTCCTGTCGGGACCTTAGTTTGTGCTACTAGGGGCTCCTGGCCTTCCTACTACTTTGACGCTACTAGAGGTTCCTGGCCTCACTACCACTTTGTCCGTACCTTCAATGCGCCTCCCCTCGGGGAGGCGTGTGTGTGTGCCCCTTGTAATCACAGGGATCCCGTTGGATTGTTTTTTTCTTTTGAGCAGGGGGTGCCAGGGATGCACACTGGACTGGCACCAACGAAGACGCCAGTGCTGCATCTGTGAAATCAATCCGGGACGCCGGATTGACGTACCTGCTGGGCGAGAAACCTACGTAGAGCACAAGCTGTCTACTTCGTTGTTTCCTTCAGTCAAGGGCTAATGCAGCGGTGATTTTCCTTGAGTGTTTGGACCTTCGGAGCTCCACTGACTTGCACGACCCGTCGTCACCCTGTCGTCGTCGCTCGCCTTCGTGTTCATAGGTTTGGAAGCTTCTAACTCACTACCTGGAACCTTAGGCGGTTTTACCTAGGCCGGCGTGTGGCACCGCTGTCAGTTCAGTACACCCTTTCCTAAGTGTGTGTGTGTGTGTTCCGTCTCCACAAAAACAGCACCAGGTAACTGATACCGAGGCTGTGAGAGTCGAAGAATCGCTAAGCTGTGGGCTCGATCTCCATCCGAGATCTTCTCGGTCATCGCAACTCCGGCCCCAGCGTCTCGATGCGCTTCTCACCGGCCAGAGCGAATTCTTCGGCGCGGCGAGTCCAGAGCCAGGTCCACACAGCGGCCCGGTCGAGCATCCAGCTGCATCGGTCGAAAGCCAATCCGAAACATTTGGTGATGTTTAAGGATGATTGAAATCCTGATGACGACTCCAGTTTCCCGACAAATTTCTGAAGGACGGCATATCTGTCTGCTTGAATGCTTGCTGCGCCTCCATCTGCCGATCTGCCATGAAACTCTGCATTATCTCATGTAAAGCTTTACCAGGGACCAAATCAAGGTCGAACACTCGAAGCTTAGGGGCATAGCGTCAACGGTCACGAACAAGAAATTGCATATCAATGACAAAGGGTTCCCCGGTGCAGGTCGCTTTGCTTTGGCGGCCGCAGTGGGGAGATGAACCCTGCGACCCCTGCGGCGACAGCCGAAGCGTGGTCTAGAGCCAAGACTGCAAAACGGTCTTTTGATGAAGGATTGAATTGGATTGAATTGATGTTGGGCGGCTGTTTGTCATCCTGAAGTCCTGGAGTTGAACACTAACACTTGCTGAATGACTGAAATGTTAGTGACTATAGCTGCTTTGGGTGATATAAATGGACAAGCTCAGACAAAAGCAAGGATGCAAGTATATATAAGTTAATGAATGGAACTCCCACACCACTGCATTGAACATGTTCAGGGACCAAGCAGGACAAACATACAACATCCGTTCTCGTTTGGACCTGCATGGCAGACGTCAGAGCCTGCAACCGCTGACCAGTTCGACTCACATCCAGACCGGCAGGACCGGACTCCTGCTGGTGGAAGTACCTCATGGACGCGCCAGCCAATGAGCATTCAGAGCAAGCAGTGAAGCAAGCAGAACGCTTGCTAAGTATCAACTGTTCTGAAGGTCTGAAGGTCGTGCGATTTCTTTCGATTTCATCCCATGCCTTCCACATATCCACAACACAAGGTTTGGCACAGCGATACATAAACCCTGAAAAGCCATGGGAATGTAGAACGCAAGAACGCATGTCACGTGCCTTATTGCAGTTATTTTCTCTTGATTTGACCCAACTCTCCAGTCTTGGGCTTCCATGACTGGAATGACCTGCATGTTTCGCCTTCACATGGAAGCTGCTGCTGAAAATCTCCGGCTTCACGGCTTCGCGTGCGACAGCGCCCTTCAGCCCCACCCTTCTCCACCACGGCCCTCCCGCTCAGCCCGGCACAAGAAATAGCTCCGCTCGCGATCCCAATAGGTGGGATGACCACCTGGCGACCCGTTCCCGGAGGCGTCGCGAGCGCGGCGGGGCCACCGTTGGAACACCGTTGTTCCACGGGTGTTTGGTGGTCGTTGGACGCTGGTGCCGATGGAAGGTCATGCCCAAAATGGCGGGGTTGTATTTTTCCCTGCAGGTGGCAATCCGGAGACAGTTTGAGCCACTAACTACTATAGTTGAGCCACAAACCAGCAGGCGACTTTTTTACTCTGCACTCTTGGGATGCTTTGATGCGGCCTTTGGGCACCTCGTTCCTATTCATGGAGCAAATCGTGGACACCGTGCAGGACTTGCTTTGCCAACCTCTAGATCTACAGGTCCCAGCCAAAGCAAGGACAGACGTCTTCCGCATGAAAAGCGAGCAATGGGTCACGAAACCGAACTGGCGCAATCAGTCACACGAGGTGCCCACCCCAAGTGCTGCCCGGGCGCAAACGAAGATCTGCTGATTGAAGTGAAAGGCCTGAATTCCAAAGCAAGAGTCCTCCCCTCAAGATGGTGACAACCATTCCCAGACAATCCCAGTGAACCACTGGTGAGCTACTCAAGTGGTACAGTATCTGGATCCGCGACGTGAAAAGAGCGGCCGCCTCACGTTGCTGGAATCCAAAAAGGAATCTGCTTAATAATCTATTTCTTGACCAAAAGGAGACAGGGTCAAGAAGAGAACATTGAACCGAAAGGATCGTAAAGCCTCCGGCATTCAACGCTCATTGTTAGGTTGTGATTTGAGGATGGTGACTAGAAGCCTTGAAAAAAACAAACAAACAAAAAAAGTGAATAGGATGCCTATTCCCAGCACATAGACCCTTGTTTATCTATATATATAGAGAGAGAGAGTATCTCTTGATGTTGTGTCATTTCGAACCTTAGAAAAATCCAACAGGCTGAGAAAGGGTAAGAAAGAACATCACAATGAAACATACGTGGAAAATCGTAGAAAGGGAAGATGCTATCCAAAATTCTGCAACAGGTTGACATGGAAGCCATTCCCTTGACAAAAAGAGGGCTGGGAGCTGCTGGTGTCTTCGCATGCCATCTTTCAAGAAACCTCTCCTTCAACATCCAAAACCATTTAGATGGACTGTAACATAGTGTAACCCGATGTAACCCGTTGTCCCCTGTTGAACCATTCTGGTTAACAGAAGGGAACGCTGTGGGGGCCTGCGTTTTCCAGTGTTTCTCAAAAAGCTATTGTTTTCAATAAAATCACTTTACTTATATATAATTATATATGGTTTTTTACTTTTCTTATCAAAGGAAGTTTAGTGTGCAAAACTTCCGTGTTACGGACATTCAACAGCTGTTCAACCACCACTCATCATACACCACTCATCATACACCACTGATCATACACCA